AGACAGATAGACAGATAGATAGATAGATAGATAGATAGATAGATAGAAAATGTTCACAACACAAAATGTTCTGATCTTCACAAGATAGGCATCTACTGAAATGTACATTATGAACTGTAAAATATACAGCCACTAAAATGCCATCCCATAATCCTCATGACAGATAGACAGACTGACAGACAGACTGACAGACAGATAGACAGATAGACAGACAGATAGATAGATAGATAGATAGATAGATAGATAGATAGATAGATAGATAGATAGATAGATAGATAGAAGAAAATGTTCACAACACAAAATGTTCTGATCTTCACAAGATAACATTTTCATTAAATGTACATTATGAACTGTAAAATATACAGCCACTAAAATGCCATCCCATAATCCTCATGACAGACAGACAGATAGATAGACAGACAGATAGATAGATAGACAGATAGACAGATAGATAGATAGATAGATAGATAGATAGATAGATAGATAATATTTGATTTATGTTGTTTATTTAATGTTTTTTTTTTTTTACTTATGTTTCCCTGGTGGTGTTTTGTGCTTGTTTAATACTGTGCTCTGTTTATTATTAGCCAGTGTTCATGGAAAGTTCAACTTTGATGAACTACATCAAAAGATTAAGTCATCAGATGGTTTTTTTTTCCATTTTACCACGTGTATTATTATGATGTTGTGTGAATATATTTTAAGGCATCTACTGAAATGTACAACAAGACTAAATGTTCTCGGAGACACATCGTTACTCGTGCTCGAGTGAATTTAGATTGATCTGAAATGGGAAATGACGTGCCTCAGCTACGTTCTAGAAAGTACAGTCTGATTCCAGAGCTGCACTGGTACAGGGGAGGGAGCAATGGCTATTTAAAGAGGGTAAAATAACACAAGATCTTTAGTGCTGAGTAACCGCCTCCAAACAGACACAACAGGATCAACTGATCATCCGTATCACGGTTTAAAGTGGCAGGGTTTGACACCGTAGTCACGACGGTGCCTTGATTCACTGTCTTTTTCAAGAGACTGACGAATCCTTGGGAAGCGGGTCTGCTTAGGAGAAAATGGGCAAAGATTATTACAAAATATTGGGAATCGCAAAAGGAGCATCAGACGACGACATCAAAAAGGCGTACAGAAAACAGGCTCTGAAATGGCATCCTGACAAAAATAAGACGCCTAATGCGGAGGAGAAATTCAAGGAGGTCGCGGAGGCTTATGAAGTTCTTAGTGATCCAAAGAAAAGAGAAATATATGACCAGTACGGCGAAGAAGGTATAGACTTGCTTAATCTCTGTAATATCCGTAATAACAGCGAAAATATGAATGCTTAATGCTTCTGTCTCTTAAATGTATCGCGTGTAAATGTAATGAAAACGAATTCTCAGGACATTTACCGAACAGTATGCTATACAAAGTTGACCATAAGGAGTCATGGTTTGTTATCCTTTTCAGTGTTCAACCAACATTCTTTAAAATCGGGAAAAGACTCTGTATATGTTCTGTATTTAAGCGTCGAAATTGCATGTCACCGCTGTTGTAATTATAGGCTCTGGTTTGACGTGCACATGATTTATGTGTTTATTTATTAAGAGTAGCCTACTGCAGTGGGATGCATAGTGGGCTAATTAAAGCCTTTAACATCATGGGCCCTGGGGCCTAAATCTTCCTCAGTTTTTTTTCCAGAGATAAAACGTGTGTTCTGTAAAATCTGTGCATTTTAGGCCTTAAAGGAGGTGGAGGGGCGACCGACGGGCCAGGAGGCAACTTCACCTACACCTTCCATGGAGATCCTCACGCGACGTTTGCCACGTTTTTCGGGGGAGCCAATCCTTTCGAGATGTTTTTTGGCAGGAAAGTCAATGGACGAGATGACGATGACATGGAGGTGGACGGAAATGACCCCTTTGGTTCTTTCACGAGTTTTAACATAAATGGATTTCCACGCGAGCGGCACGTTGGTCAGGGCGGCCCGCCGCGCAGGAAACAGGACCCCGCGATCCACCACGAGCTCCGGGTGTCTCTAGAGGAGGTCTTTCACGGATGCACCAAGCGCATGAAAATCTCACGCAAGCGCTTGAATCCAGACGGTCGGACTTTGAGAAACGAGGACAAAATCCTCACTATTGAGATCAAGCGTGGGTGGAAAGAGGGAACCAAAATCACGTTTCCACGCGAGGGGGACGAATCGCCTAATACTATTCCTGCCGATATTGTGTTTGTCATTAAAGACAAGCCCCACGCCCACTTTCGCCGAGAGGGGTCTGATATCGTGTACCCGGTCCGGATCAGTTTGCGCCAGGTGAGAAAAGCCACTTACAAATTAATTTGTTCATCCATCCATCCATCCATCTATCCATCCATCTATCCATCTATCTATCCATCCATCCATCCATCCATCTATCCATCCATCTATCCATCTATCTATCCATCCATCCATCCATCCATCTATCCATCCATCTATCCATCTATCTATCCATCCATCCATCCATCCATCTATCCATCCATCTATCCATCTATCTATCCATCCATCCATCCATCCATCTATCCATCCATCTATCCATCTATCTATCCATCCATCCATCCATCCATCTATCCATCCATCTATCCATCTATCTATCCATCCATCCATCCATCCATCTATCCATCCATCTATCCATCTATCTATCCATCCATCCATCCATCCATCTATCCATCCATCTATCCATCTATCCATCCATCCATCCATCCATCCATCCATCTCTATCTGTGACTGTCTGTCTGTATGTTTATTCATCTGACTCCAAAATGTCTATCCCTCTTTCCATCCATCTGACTCTAAAAGACAATATATATATAGTATAGATTTTCACCTTAATTATTCAGGGGTTTTTTTTTTTTTACTTCCAAAAGCATTTTTTACAGCATGTTACAATAAAAGTACATGGACTATAATTTTCAACCAGTTAAGTTAAATCACAGCAGGGCTCTAAATCTATCTATCTGTCCATTCATTCATCCATCTGACTGAAAAATGTTGTCTTGTTTAACATAATATAGATTTTTCACCTTGAAAATTATATGGTAATTCATTACTTTTACTTCCAATAAATATAATTTAAACAGTATTTATGGTCAAATTAGGCCTACAGGTATTAAATGTATACCTGTTATTTATCCCATTAAATGCAAGCAAATTTTCCACAATTTATGGTAGGTTATGGTAGGTACAGTTTAGCATGTTAAATTGCCAATTAACATGATTTTACTGTAGCATTTTGTGTCAATATAAATAGAAACACTTTTACAGTCTATAGACCTATCTATCTGTGCAGGTTTGTATAAGGCAAGGTTTTGTACATTTGCCTAGCTAGAAATGTCAAATTCTTTGTGTGAAATCTCGTCTCTTACATAATGCAGTTTGGACAGGAAGGAATATGAGCTCAATCAGCTGTTGTGAGATGCCAGAAAAGGAGCTCGCCCACTTAAACCGTTACAGGCCCATCAAGATGTACATCTATGGCAGAATCATTGATAGACAGTGCTGTGTCTGTAAATGTCATGACACAGAGTGGCCGTCAAACCAGTAAAATATGTTTCCAGGCTGTTGGATGGGATATATATGCGACAAAAGGGGAAAAGTTGGATGCATTTTTGCACACAATATCTGCAGTATAGCCGAATGAATTGGAATTATAGTAGGTATTTGCCCAGGTTACTGTCATAATGTGAAAGTTTCATACTGTTCCCAGCTTCATGTCCTGATGCTTGTCATTTTAAGAAGAAAGTGTAAAAAACATACTGTGAATCAAGATCGATGAATAAGATGAAAAATTAAATTAAATGAACGCGTATCTAAAAGCAGGTTCAATTCAGTTACAGAGTTACTGTATCAGAGTTGAAAGTGTCTCGCACCAGACTTCCATTAAAACAGTCAATCATTTTTTTATAAAGGGATGACAATGTACAATTTAGATATTTATATAGTAGTTATGCAGAACAGTTAAAAATACTAGCAATACTGCTTTTATGTGTTCTTTGTCTTAGAGTATATTTAAAGTTAAGAGAATATTATTGTAAAATGTTACCAATATTTCTTATCCTACTAACGATTGTTTTTTTTTCTTTGCTCATAGTCATTGTGTGGCTGCTCTGTCACCGTGTCGACGATAGATGGTAAAACGTGCAATATGAAGATAACTGATGTTATCAAACCTGGCATGAGGAAGATCATTGCTGGACAAGGACTGCCCTTCCCAAAGAACCCAGAACAAAGAGGGGACCTTATTGTGGAGTTTAGAATATTATTGTAAAGTGTTACCAATATTTCTTATCCTACTAACGATTGTTTTTTTTTTCTTTGCTCATAGTCATTGTGTGGCTGCTCTGTCACCGTGTCGACGATAGATGGTAAAACGTGCAATATGAAGATAACTGATGTTATCAAACCTGGCATGAGGAAGATCATTGCTGGACAAGGACTGCCCTTCCCAAAGAACCCAGAACAAAGAGGGGACCTTATTGTGGAGTTTGATGTGAACTTTCCTGACAGTCTGCCGTCTAATGCCAAGGATGTCCTGAAACGACACTTACCGGTCTCATAAAGTGAGCTTGGACAGACTTTAGTGACATTTCTACATGAACAATTCAGTCCCCTTCATAGGTGGACTAATATGACAAATCAAATTTTGAGAATGTGCAATTTCTATTTTTTATCTAAATGTTTGTTAAATATATATGCATTTGTTATATATCTGATACATATATATGAATTATGTTGCATGCTTGTGAATGTCAGTGACAGTGCCAACTTAAAGTGCAATCTGTGTCCAGTTAGTTATTTTTATGCTTCTTTTGAATTGTGCAGTATTGAAATAAGTGTTTAACAGACTAAATTATACAGATCGATTTGTTTGCCTTTTACAAGTAGATCCCATCTGTACTGACAGATCATGTACTGTTATTCTTTCTAAATGCACAATATGATATCATTTTAGTAAATGATGGCTTGGAGTGAACTGTGATGGTGCCATGGATACGTGCCTTCATTTGTGATAGCATTTAGCAGGACTCTACTAATGCCTTTTCAGATCTGATTCGTCAGATCCTTTTAAATGTGAGCAACGGACTCACATAATGTAACTGTCTTTGACAGAGACCAAAAATTTGGTTACTTGTGCTGTGGGTTCATATCATGTTTATTCATGGAAAGTTAGGAGAGCGTTTGCATTATTAGAATTACTTAATCTTACATTGACTACTAGTGCATTGTGTTGAAAGTGTATGGTTAAATCGTTATGATACAATTTAATAAAATTGTAGGAGGTACAGCATCCTCAACTACTGTACACGGGATTCATTGAAATATCCGACAGAGGACGCCACATGTCCAAAATCAGACTACATGAGGGAAATAAGGTCCAAAATAGTCAGCAACCTTTGCTACTCAGAATTAGTCATCGTATCAGTGATGGATATGTTTTCTGAAAGCAGAAACGAGATTTTAAATCTCAGTGAAAACAATGATGGCAAACAAGACTAAATGATTAAAAGAGAATGGCACGAAGATGTAAAAAGTGATTTACACACTACTGAGCGAAATAGATTAGGCCTATTAGAAATTCAAAATGTGTATTGGTTATCTAGCTATAGTTTATACACTCCTGTAACTGTTACGTAATCTGACTTTTGAGAGGAAAGTGTGTGGGGGAAGAGCGGGGCACAAAGTAACACTTTTTGACTTTCTCAAATTGTGTAAATCCACATGGGGTTCAGAGTATATATTTTTTATCCACAGTAATTTACACTTGTCTAGTACAAATGTGTCGCTTTGTTTCATGATTACAGTGTAGACGTTTTTCTTTATTTACCCTCAACATATGGAAGTGAAATGTGACAACATGCCCCGTAGGTGGGGTACATTGTAACATCTGAGGGGCACGTTGTAACATGACCATATGACAGCTTAAAATGCTATCTGATCGAATGAAAAAAATATACAAGATCAACTAAAATATTTTGTCAATAAAATAAAATCATTATTTATTTCAAATAAAGTAATGGCGTTTTTTTAAGAATTAAAAATAATCTGATTTTGGTGTTTGACAATGAACACATTGCAACCATGCTTGGGACGGCCCACATAAACGAGCCAAAATGCGTTACATGTCTTGAAATAATAATTTCTTAACATTAAACATTGACTGTCAGTCTTTATTCACCTGTTTCTCGTCGTTTATCATTAAAATGTATTAAAGTAAATAGCCTGAATTACATCGCTAATGTCATAGAATAGCACATTGTAACGCAGTGTTACAGCATACCCCATCTGCGCAACTGGAATTTAAAACCGGTTACCGTCTTCTGATAGCTAGCGAAGCATTAAAAATAATTTAAACTGATAAATAACAGATTGATTGGAGATTAAAATAATAGCAGATTTGTCTCATTTTAAATGAGTAATAAAAACGGAGATGAAAATTTCAAAAAACGCCCAGAGCTTAAGTAGTTAAGCCAGAAATATAATTATGGTAAAATAAATGTTCAGCGATATCTTCAAGACTTTTGAATTTTGTCGCACTTTTTTTCTCTATATAATGTTGATATAGTAACTAGTAAGTGCTGTAAATTTGGTTATGCTAGCATGTGTGGAAATATTTAAACCATTTGTGTTACAACTTACCCCGCGTTACTTTGTGCCCCGCGCTCCCCTATCTTTAGGACTATTTATGGTATAATAATCGTTATTGGTAGGCGCATGTTCATCTTCATCCGCTTTCACCGGTTGGAGTTAAAAAAAAAAAGTACTTGACACCTGAGCCAGGTAAATGAGTTTCTGGATGACGTCACGGCGTCCTGTAGCGCGCTCATTGTTCATTGTCCTGAGCCTCAACAGCGAGAGAGTTTACAGTAGAGCCGCACACCGTCTATTTCTAATCTACTATCCGGTGAATACTACCGTTTTTAAACCCTGGCTTTGTGAGTGGGAACAAAAAGGACACATTCAACAGGTTGATTTGCGTCCTTCAATGCTTTAGCTGTCCGGTTCCCGTGTTCTTCATCCCCCCACGGATTTCCAGGAGGAGCGAACATGCCTTTGGGACTCAGGAAAAAGAAAAACAAGTCGAAGGAAAGCTCGAACTTAGTGGAAAACGAGGAGGTCAGCGGACACGCAGGTGTTGGGAAGTCCGCGGTGAACGGTGGCGGTCTGCCGGCTCCACCTGCCAACATGCGACCGAAACTGGTGTTTCACACGCAGCTCGCGCACGGGAGTCCCACGGGCCGGATCGAGGGCTTCACGAACGTCAAAGAGCTGTACGGCAAAATAGCAGAAGCGTTTAATTTACACCCGGATGAGGTAAATGTCAACTTGTTAAATCTATTTCAAAATCTCAGCGTGAACTCGAGTTCCAGGGTGCGCAGGCGGTGATGAGTCAGAAATGAATTACTCAAACGAAGTTGCAAATCAAAAACCACGAGCCTGGTGGTGTATGCATAAGGTGCGTCTTTCTGGGGACAGGGAACTGAAAATCGCGG